TATTCTATTTACCTGCGCCGTTATATACACTATATACACACTGTGCCGACGTTTGTCGGTTCGTCTTACATTGGGAATAATCCTGCAGCGCCTCATCATTTCTACCTCCTGGCACCCTGCTGTCGGGTGTTCTACGCCTTGCAATCACTGAATGAACCTAGTCCATTTGGTTAGCCTATATTTCCCTGGGGTTTTACACTTTACAATTATCACTGTTACACTTAATGTTCATGGCTATATGAAGTTGGTTTCACTTACTTGAGATTGAAGAAACAGACGCTTGCCCTCACCAACCAATGCCCACTCATGGCCATCGCCCTCTCGGCGATAGCCTCTGGCTGGACTCTCTATCACATAATACTATTCAAAAGTCAAAAGGCAAAAAGGTAAAAAGGTAAAAGGTTTTTTGATTAAGTCTTCTAGGGTTTATATAACCTCTCTTTGCTGATTCTTTGAGTTCCGGGTAGGTTGCCTGCCCATTCTGACGTGATTTTGGCCTCCCTCATTGGTTGCCCATCGAGAAGGGGTTGACTCTTTCGGGTCTACCGCCTCCTCTGACTCAGCGTTTTCCTCCTGCCATAGTGTTTATGACCCACTTCATATAGCTCCTTCCTCAATGTCAGCGCTATTACACTGCCGGGTTAGCATTTTAATGACTCAGGCATTCCCTGTTACAATTCTTTGTAGACCTAAGCTTCCTGGTTCGTTTCGTCATGGCTATTTCTTAATCTTACAGTCTAGCTACTATTATTCCAATTTTACCCCAAAAACTATATCTACAAGTATGTGACCTTTGCGCCATTACATCTACCAACACCGGATTTCTTGGATTAATTATTGATAATATGTTGTCATGGAAAGGACATGTCGACTGGATCATGGCTAAATTGAGCCGTGGGGCTCTTAATGTGTAGTCTTGTCATTACTCCGATGACAACCCACTTCTTCGGAACAGTTTGTTGGCCCTGAAAAGGACCGTGGCTGCTGAGATGCTTGACCGGTGAGGTAGCGCGGCGCGCGCCAGTAAGGAGAGAGGCTAGTTGCGACGAGTGGCCTGGCCGCAGTGCGGCCGTGGCTGGAGGTTGCTTGGTTGCCGTGCGGCAGCGTGAGTTGGAGGTTGCTTGATCGCAGTGCGGCAGCTGCTGGTGAAAGGCTAGTCGTTGAGTGCGGTCGTAGGAGTCATGAGACAGTGGCTACGCCAGATGCCCAGTGGGTCGGATAGTAACACGACCACCGGCGAGTCCAGGCGCAGTGAACCAGTGAGTCGGGCGTGAGAGTGCCGGAGGGCCGAGGCAGTCGTGCCTGGCGCAGCATGCCGATGCCTCCGAAGACCGAGTGCTGGTGACGAAGCCTGCTGGCTGATGTTGCTTGATCATAGATTGAAGTCAACTGATGAACTGAATACTCGGTGTTGGAGCTGCCCCTTTTTATACACTGCTCGGTGGGGCGGAGCGAAACTTGAAATTGAGGAGGAAGGATTGGCTAGCGCGCGTAATGACGTAGATGTGGGCTAGCAGTGAGCGCAGTATAAATACGAACGTTTGAAGCAATCTGACTGGTTAGCACGCGTGATGGTGAAAAGTGATGTGAAGAGCGAGCGTTGCAGAAATGCGTGATAATGTGGGATGTTCCCACAGAGCTCTACCTGTTATGCAATCAGGACTATTAAGCCTTATGTCACAGGAAACAATGAGAATAATATATTTCTCATACTTTCATTATGTAATGACTTATGGTTTGATGTTCTGGGGCAAGTCTCCCCAAAGTATCCTTATTTTTAGACTCCAGAAAAGGACAATTAGAATCATCACTAATTCTAGGAAAAGTGACTCTTGTAGGTAATTGTTTAAAAAACTGAAAATTTTGCCCCTCCAATCACAGTATATATTTTCTCTCTTGTTATTTATGGCCAAAAACAGAGATCAATTTAAAACTTCATAGCATTAATACAGGACACAACAATAACCTTCACTATTCTACATGCAATTTGTCAGCATTCCAAAAATGAACATATTATTTTTGTATCAAGGTTTTTAACAGCCTCCCTTCTAGCATAAACAACATAGCTCATGATATTAAACAATTTAAATTTCCTTTAAAAATATTTCTACTCCCAAATTCATTTTACTTACTGGAGGAATATTTTAACAATACTGATTAAAGATCCTGGTTCATTACATGCTTAACGAATGGCAGTATATGTCATACTTGATTATTGCAGTGTTGTTCATTGATAGTTTGACGCATGCTTGAAGTCACACACATTGCATAGAGGTTGTCTTGACAATACGTGTTTTGAGTGTGTTTGTCTAACTGTACTCAGGCAAGCCATGTAATCCGTTTTGTTGTCAATGTTTTAGAGTTTACCAGCCAAGTAAGGCTCGATGAGTGTAAATGAAGGATGGAATGAATGAATAAATTGTAGGCAATGAGATAAAATAATTGTATACTAGTAATTAAATCATACTCACTGGAAGAATATTTTTATCTATGTTGTTGTCGTCTCACTTGCTGTTTTTTTACTGTATTTTACTGTATTCACAAGTCCCCCTTATGGGGATCTATGGATCTATGAATGGAGATTGTTTGCTTGCTTTTACTTACATATTTTACAACCTTTAACAATGTGTTCATTATGTAAGATTTGAGGCTTTCACGGCGGTGACTATGAAGNTCATTGACAACGTTTTTGACAAAAGGCTCAAATTTTGATGCACAAGTATAATTAACTATGTAATATATGATCTTATTACTTATTAGTGATGTACTCATCGACATTGTTCCTGTTAACAGGCTCAAATTGTGATGCATAAGTACATCTAACTTATATTTATGTAATTTGTAATCCTATTATTCTTTTTAATTAGGCTGTTATTGTACAGGTGTCATTGTATTTATATTGTTATTTGACTTGTTCCATACTCTATGGTGTCTACCTGTATCTGGATTTACAGAACATAAATAAATTGAACAATTGAAATGCTTGCCTGGCAGTTATCTAGTATTTTACTTGTATAACTGAAAAATATATTTAAAATGAGTGAAATGCTTACATAATTCTTAACAGTACTATGAGAGTCATAGTGGAACCATCCATTAGAATACTTTCCAATAGATGGCAGTACATGATGCTGTTAGCACTTTCTTCACAAAAATGCATAAGGTTAAATATGGACTACGTGGTATTATCATGCATTCTTTCTGATGAAGTGAATGCATGTGGAGGAGGTCCTGTCCTTCCATCTGCAGATTCAGCTCCCCAAAACCAGTGAATGGATTTTAATTAAATTCGCATGGCAAACTTACCTATGACATCTCATATCCATATCATACTCAGGCAATGCACAAATTTTGTAGAGAGGCACACAGGGAAAATAGAGGGCAAGCTTCCAGCACCCATACCTAGCAGAACCCACCCCCAAATACCATGGCCCTCCAGGTTCAGTGCTTTACATAGGGGTGGCATCCTCACAAATTAAAAATATTATAATTAAAAAAAATAAATGGATCACATCAAAATGACTATCACAAAGAACAAATAAATCAAAACTGTTGCCTGTAATTTGGCAGGGTAATGCCACAAAGAATTAGAAGCACTGAAATAACTTCAAAGAATGCAAGTTGATTGATCAATGTCTGAGAGGGAGAAAAAAAGTCTGATGAAAGGACTATGAACTACAAAATGTATTAACTTGTTATCGTTATGTACACACAGACTACAGGATTACATTTACATTGTGGTCTTATGGATTATGACACGTAATTTTGTAGGGGTTACCGATATTTTAAAGGGACATTCAACCTCTATCTTAAAGACAGCAGAGATCCAGTATATTGGAAATCATCTGAGAAAGTATAATTGTGGCATAACTGAAAACATCACTAAATTAAAATTTTCACCATGGTAAAAAAACAAATCTCATATACAATTCAAATTTTCTACAGGACTGTATTATTAATGTAATACTTACATAGACAGTACCCTCCCTTCTCTGACAAAGCCACATTTCACATTAGTGAGTACATCAACATACAACATTGCTGTGTGTAGGGTTCTGAAAATTCCGATGTAATGGAACATGAGAGGTTGAGTACCACATTGAATGTCTGATATGCCATAGGACACATGGACACTGGGCCTTTCATTCCACCACAAATGTGAGACAACGCTCTATCGGCATTCAGATACTGGATGGACATTGTGTGGGCAACAAAGGAGGCTCAGGTTGAAGTGTGTGATGGAAAAACTATCAGCTTCTCTGTCATATGATGAAAGTATACTCTTGTAGCTTTATTCATTATTCTAACAAAAATTATTAAAATGTGGTCATTCTTCATCAGACATCCTACAAACAAATATACAAGATAAATAAATCTACCTAAAAGACATTGGATTTTGGGTTTTCAAATCAGTGGCTACGAAGATTACTATGTTGTGGGATGTAAAGTTAAGATCAACTACACAGCATTACATTCCAGAAGACAGTATCCTTAGCTGAAAGATGGATACATTTTCACAATAAAATAAACTCAGAGATCTAAATGTGCCCTCTATTTTCAAAGACACAATGATAACTAATCCTCAGTGGATCCCTCACTACTTAAAGAGTTTACACAGGATTAGGTACAGGTCAGGAATGAAACAATGACACCATTCCTTCACTGTTTGATGTTATTGTGAAATTAACATATACACTATGCAGTACATCATAACATATTCAATCCATGAAATGTACCTCTAAGTTCAAACAGATTACAATCAGGCTTGAGCAAGTTGTTACTTCCTTCCAAATGAACCTTCATTTCAGGGCCTATAATGTGCAATTCAAGACCAAGATGTTGGCCTTCCAAATTATTTCAGACTAATTCTGCTGGTTCAAATCAGTACTAGAGTATGTTTTAGTGTGTTAAATGTGTCAGAAAGATTTATGCACTTATACATTAGGTGCACTAAGATGTTCAGTAAGTTTCATTTCAAAGTTTGTAACAAGCATAACCCTTGCTATGTGGTTGACTTAGTTCCATATAGTTCCACTACAGGCCTTTTCTGGCATGTATCCATTTTTTAGTTGCATTCCCACTAACCATACAAACAGCGAACAGTGCAGAGAAATGAGATGAATGGTTCAGAGATTATTTTCCTTCACGGTAACACCTTATAAGACAATGGTAACTATGTGTACCACACTTTCATGATTACTAACCTAGTACCCACTATCTTCATGGATTTCAATTGGTTATCAGAATTACCAACAAAATTATTGCCAGACATCATTAAAAACACTTATCCTTGTAATGGTGATGTGATGTGTTTCGTTTGAGGTAGTAACCAAAGGTCTGAATTCCTTTTCAATAAGCTTTCCTCTTTAAATAATGTTAGCTAATGAAACTAACCTGTCTTCTGGGTGACTTTCCACTATGTTTCTAACATGAAGAGAATCTATGAACTCAGCATTTGGACTCCCAGCTCCTTCCAGGAACAACAGTTCTTGTGTAGCTGACATCAATGGTACAAGGAATGTAACTGAAGACACAGGAAATTGGAATTTGGTGTGCAGTCCTGCACCCAAAAAGAAAAAAAAAAGTACTTCTGAAGAAATGACACTGTCTAAGGCAACCTTAAAACAATACAACACCTTAAAGGAAACTGAAACATTATTCAAAACAGAAATCAGTGTGAGGACTATTACTAAGGGGCATGTAAGTGAAATAATTAGCAGGTATTGTTATATGAATATAGAATTCTGAACAGTTCATTTTAGAATCACAGATGGTAACTTCCAACATAACTTTACCACTGTTAATCCTTACTGAACCAGATTTAAATCTTCCCTGTAGGAGCTCACAGGTAGAATTGAATGACTGCATTTGATCTACATATGTTTTCAAAATGTCATTATAAAAAATTCAGGATTCTTCACTAAAACACTATGTGAGATACTGCCTGTGGACTGGCAATGCGCTATCCTGTGGCTATTTGACCCAATAATTTCTTGGATATCAAAAGATAGAAATACAAAGAAGTTATATATCAACAGTAAGAAACTGGCACAAGCTACCTAAATGATACAGAAATGCCATCTCCATACCACCTGTGAACAAGTGGGGAAAAAAAATCCAGGGATAATTGAAACTTCTAATTCTTTGACTACAGATTTCTGTGGCTATCTCCTACTGACAACTGAACTGCTCTCTAGTCTAATTTTCTCAACTCAAATTTGCTGCCGCTGCATTCCCATTCTCTTGACTGAACTAACCTAAATCAAAATTAAAGTCAAAGTCACATTGTGACTGACGGTTGGTCAGTCAGTCAGTAAGTCTTGGTGCCAAACCCCATCTGGGGCTCATGACCAGATATTAATTATTACTTTTTGACAATTATGGTCTTATTTTTGTGGGGGCCCTCTCCAACGAGAGGACGGGTGTGTCTTGCATATGCTGCTGGCCCTTGCCAGCGCAGTCTTTCTCGGGTCCGAGTCCCTTTGGACTCATGTCCATATTTTACTATCTCAGATTTGAGACTTCCCTTTTCGTCGCCTCCTACGACTCGCAGGGTCACGGTGGAGGTATTCGACCCCACCTCCACACGGGGAAACTAATCTAAGCTACAACAAATCCTTGTTATATAGGCTCCCCATGGACCACACAGAAAACACAGCTTCTCTATTGTTGGTATGGTTATGTGAGCATGCGCAAGCAGCATGGACACAAAAAATCACTGCTCCAGTATTGTTGGCCAGGTGTGTGTCATGGACATTGCCTAGCAATGGATTTACATGTTACAATATCAAGATATCCACAAGACTACATATCCACACATACTCACACATCTATTTACTCTCTAAAACATCAACATTACATTGTTTATATGCATCATTCCATTAGTCTAGATAGGAAGTGAAATAATTCTACTGATACCTGGTAATGAGGCTAGATGTATATAACATTTTCCATACTCATTGGGTTGGGTAAGAAAAAGAATGTCAGTTTCTTTCTCAGCAGAAGCCCCTTCTAGCAGAACAAAATCCTGAACAGGAATTTCATCCCACAGTGCAAGAGAAAGAAGTGTTTGTGAGCACATACCAAGCAACTTCCCATCTTCAGTGAGGCCAACAAGCAAGCTGAAAGTAAACAGAAAATTAGCATTCCATTACTATATTTATTATTTTCAGAAAATTAATACTCCAACATGTGTAGCTAGGCAACACTGTGATAAACACCTTCCCGCTCCAGCGCATGACAACAATACACGACCATTGCTAGGCAGCAGCCAGCACGCCAATGAACTGGCTGGATTGTGATCATGTGGAAAACCCAACAGAGGTGTTTCAACAACAGAGGCTGTTTCCTATGTGGTCCATTGCCACAACTATATAGTGAGGATACAGAATAAATGGCAGTTGAGTACAAGCTTCGGACAGCGAGAGAGAGAGAAGGCTAGAAACTAGAGACCAGTTCAAAATCCAGACAACAGGAAGGAGTTCAAAGTGTGAACTGTTATAATCAAGTGTAATTGTAATACGGACATCCAATAAATCAAATCATCAAATCTAGAACCCACAATTATTAGTCACACAACCCCTCATATGTGACAATATATTAATTCTATATTATTCTCATACATGTATATTTTCTAGCAGCCTGAAGTATCTATAATCCATTCATGTGAAACATTCTGTTATGGCCGAATAGATTTTCGTGAAATTCAACTTGCAAAAACAAATCAACAAAATCAAATTTTGGTACATAGTGAGAAATATGAAGTATCACTTTATAGAATTCCTGAACGAGTGATCAGCTCATCATAAGGCCTCTACCTAAACACAGAATAAATGCATACACACCAAACATCCATGCCTTAAATGGGATTTGAACCCACACTCCCAGCGTCTGTGCTAGCGAAGACAGTGCATGCCTTAGACCACACAGCTACTGTGATCCGCGGCAGAATAATGATTAGCAAGCAAAAATAGAAGCACTTCAACAAAACCCCCCAAGTGACACAAATAGAATTTATTCTCCAAACTTGTTTACAGTATGTGCTAGCATGACTTCATTTTAGTGCTGATGGTTCTCATAAAATAAAAAAATTCCCACTCCTTTTTATGAAAATTATAAAAGATAGAGAAAAATGCAGATGTCTTTAGGCTACATTTTAAACTACAATTTCAAGGCTTCTGTTAATAGATATCACTCATTCTCTTTCTCTTTTTCTCTCCCCTTTATATTTTATACACGTGTGCACATGTGCATGATTCCTTGTTTCCTTAAGAGGACATCAATATGTTAGGTACAATTTAGAGATTACATGCAAAAATTATATTAAAATTCCACCTACTTTTGAATATACAATTGGTATATGTACTACATTATAAAAAACTGATATAAGAGTAAGGTAAAGGTAGGCTGCGCCATAGCTCAAGCGGTTAGTCGCTGGCTTCCCACTGTGGCAGCCCGGGTTCGATCCCAGGTCTGGTCAAGTGGGATTTGTGGTGGACAATGTGGCGCTGGGGCAGGTTTTCTCCAAGTACTTTGGTTTCCCCTGCCAATCTTCATTCCACCAACTGCTCCACAATCACCCTCACCTATCATCTGGGGCAACTGGGACTAAGTGATAGTCCCACTTGTGAAAGGTGTCTGGAAGAAAATGAAACAGCCACACATACCCTGTGTGAATGTGAGGCATTAGCTTATTTAAGACTATGTCACTTGGGTCAATACTTTATGGAACCAAGTGACTATTTTGACGTCCCCATACTCAATATCCTACGCTTCATCCGAAGCGCGGGGTTGCTGAAGGGATAATAAAAAAAGGGGAAGCACAATAGACCACCGTAGGTCATGGTGCAAGGGCCAAGAAGGCCTACCCCTCATACATTCATTCATTCTTTATACCATCTGGGGCTGGTACAATAGGTCGGAAGTGGCCGCAGTACAAGGGACTTAGTCCCACCCCACTAGCAATGAAAAAAAAAAAGGTAAAGATAAAGCTATCCCTGTACCAGACCGTGATACGAAAGTACCAGCACAAAAAAAAAACATATGACATATTTGATTACAGTTGTGGAAAAGTCACTGTTTTAACATAGAATCACTTCAGATCAGTAGTTGTTAAGCTTTGATCTACGAATCCCTAGATAGTATGTGAAATGGCTCATAGTATTTAAGGGAGGGATTAAATAAAAATTTAAATGGCAGATGTTTTGGTGCAACACTGCTTTAAAGTATAGCAGAAAGGGACAGTAGTGTTGGGATTTGGTTTTAAGAAATTCTATTTCTTGTAATTTTTCCACCTACATAACACTGAGATGTACAATTTCAGAATGAAAATGTATTGTGAAATGCCATGCGGAAGAGAGAATGAGCATATGCAAACAGGTGTCTGAAAAGACAGAAAGGGGCATAAAAAGAGATACTCTCAGAATGGACATATTACTTCAGACAGAGGTTTGTACATTCTGGTTTTCAATGAATGGGGTTCCAGGAAGTAACCATTCACAATCATGCCCCTATATAGGCAATTCACAATGCACTCCTGCCTATCAATATGACACTCTTATACTCATACCTGATTTATTTTAAAAGGTAGTCTACATGCATGAATATTACACAATCTTACCTTGCATGTTCTATAGCTTTAATAGTTTTAAGCCTTGATATCGGTTCCTCTAACATCCACGATTCATTCACTGATGGTTCAGTTGATGAAACAATAATTTCATCACCCACAAGTACAAGTCTTGTACTTTCACCGTCAGTTACACGTGTTGCTGACAATACCTACATAATAAGAAAAAAACCTCTGCATTGTGTTCTGGTAAATACTTTGCCTATCAAAATTAGAATTTACATTGCAATCGAATGGTACAGGTAAGATATGTACTTATCAATTTAAAATGTGAACATCAACAAAATTAAATACTTTGACAGAAAAATGTTAAGAACATATTCAGAATGTACAATGAATCCTCTCCAAACAGATTTGTGCAACATGGCTTTGGTTATATACTGCATTACCCCTTTCATCTACTGATTGGTTATACAAAGCCCAAAAAAATTGAAGTAAGAGTGGTATGAAGATTAGTGGGGTAAAACCAAAGATACTCAGAGAAAACCCTACTCCAAAGCTCTTTTGTTCACCACAAAGCTCACATTAAGTCATCTACCACTGAACCTACATCCTTTGGTGAGAAGCCACTGTGTTCCCACCTGAGCAATGGCACAACCTTCTCTTCCACACATATTGCGTTTAACATGTTCATGTATTAGTTCACTGAAACAAACATCCTTTCTCATCAAAATAATAGCACTCCTTGCCTGGTTCTCAAAGCTCAGTTAATTCCATAGGTTCTTAAGTCTTAAAAACATGTTTTCTGAGAATGTAATCCCCATATTTGCCAAGAATAGACTGAATAATAAGCATAATGCCCCAAACATCCCTCACACTATTCAACCTACATGATGAAAGCAGTGCAGAAAGTAACACATGACAGTGGCTGGTCATTATTTGTTGATATGGCTGGCTGCTGTTTATTCAGTGAATCAGATAGGCAATTGTTTCTGAATGATTAAACTGGCCACATGTAAAAGGGTACAATCAATATAGGTGTCAGGATAATGAAGAACTGAAGGGAAGAAAACTGACCAACTAAACAACCAAAACAGTTCTCAACACCCATTTATACAACTGAACCAGCCTGAGGCATCTTGGAAAAAGTTGCTAAGCAGACCATCAGGGTCTGGATAAACACGAAAGAAAAATACTGGAAATCCACAGCTCAACAAAAACATGAGAAAGGTTTCCTCCAGGAGACCTTTACCAGAGGAACTATAGAAATATCAAGTGTTGAAGAGGCATCAGTTGAGACTATAGTAACAGTACTATTTACTGGACACTGTCTATAGTAAACTGCTTCATCTGCAGAAGCTGTCATAACAAAAAAGAAACAGGCTTGCACACCTTGTAAATGTGATGTATTACCTGTATTAAGATTTCATCACCTGTAACCTTATTTGATGCAACCAAGAGACTATCATGACAAAAGGATGATGATTTTGCTCTGTAAAAAAAATTACTGCCATGAAATCCAAAGAAGTGAAAAAATACAATGTGGTAGAATCTTCTAAGGAAGGCTATGGCTCAAAATGGGCTGTTTTGCCAATGATGGTGGTGGGGGTGGTGGTGGTGGTGGTGGTGGTGGTGGCGGGAGGAGGAGGAGAAGCTCACATCGCTCCATTAAGAAGAGTAATGGACTTCATGTGAGGTGCAGGAATGCTAGAGGGTTAAATCTTAGAAAGGGGATGCTCAATACATCAAAGACAGGCACACTGCAAGGAGCGTTTAATATGTCCATTCCTTTACTTATAACGTAATACAGCTCTGAATTCGATTATATTGTGATATGTCTGTTCAAAGCCAGGATTGTGGAGACAGAAGAGACAACAGTTGCTAGGAATGATTCGATAAACTTGCATCCATGGCAACCAAATCACATGACCACAGAAACAGACACACTCATAATAATAGGGGAACTGTTGGAAGCAGTGTTTTCTAAGAAGTCCATGCTGAGGTTATATATGGAGAAGTAACTGAACCCTACAGTCAGAAAATATAAGAAGGTTAAACTTGGTGGTGGTTAAGCTTACAACCGTTAAAGTGACTAAGCTGCCGTTGTAGCATAAGACATGTAAGATAGCTATGATCTGCTTTGCAAAGCCTGTACTGACAGAGAACTTGTATATAGTGCAAAATGAAGAATTTTCAATAACATGCTATATGTGCGAGACACAACTGACAAAAGGCCAAATATATACATAACAGATAAACCCATCTTCTCATCAGAGAAAATGCTACATAAGAACTATGACTGCAATGGTTCAGTTGAAGAAAAATAAAACTCTTGTGGTGAATCTCAAGGGGCTTGATGCCAAGATGAACTGATTGGTGGTAAACCACCAATCGTAAAGTAACTCTGACTTTGACTTTTAGTCAGCCTGGACTAGGAGGTCACAAGTTACCCACGCATGTTAGATGTGTGAAGGTTGCCAGCCAGTGAGGACAGAAGCCAGTGAACACAGAAGCTGAGGAATCCGTCCTACTGTGGGACCCGTTACAAGGCAGCGCATAGTGATGACATACAAGACTTAGTGGTGTCATAATGAACTGTGAGAGTGTGAATCAGTGACAGCGCTGTAATTAATTGTAGTTATGGTTTGCAAGAGCCTAATAAATACAATTACCAATCCAAACCTAGTCTATTGTCACTAATTACGAGACTATACAGGTATTACTGTCAGTACTGGTAACGGAAAGGAGAATGGGGAAATGAGAGTCATATAAAATTGAAAACCTGCCCAGCCACTACCATGTAAATCATTGTAGAGTCTTGAAAGCTACATCTGCCTTCTTATGATCCACTTAAGATGGGGTTGCCAGTGACTTTAAGATAAACTTCTGATATACAAACCTGACCCTTGCAACACTGTTTTCTTATGGTTTCAACCTGGATGACGTCAATCATCTCAGTTAGTAATTCATCATCACCTTTTTGAATTGCTTGCAATAATGATTCAAAATTAAGTCCTGCAATCCTGAAAGAAAATATTTTCTATAGTCCTAAGGCAACAGTGAAAGAAATAAAGACTTTCATTATATGGTAATAAAAATTCTAATATTCTTCCTAACCAGTTCAACATATGGGAACCCACTATGTTTCAGACATTATTAAGCATCTGTGCTACCTTAGTCTTTAGCAATGTTTCAGTTACCACTACATCATACAATAGGAATGAAATTAAATAAGAGAATATTTGTTTCTAGCAAAATATATTCCAATGTTCAGCATTATATGAATAGGATATGGTTTACGATGTACTACATGTGTGTTATTTCATTTTCATGGAAACCAAATGCTAATTTAACTAAACTGGTTTTAGCATAAAAGAGATGAAGGGATGGAATGACAGGATGGACAAATAAAAGGAATATGGGAGAATGACAAAAAGGAGCTAAATGTACAAGAGTTCATAAGAAGCTTCCAACTGAATTTTCAATGGGAATTGCACTAGAACATGTGATAGCAGAATACGTACCTTAATATTTGTCCTGAATTTCCGATCATCAATATATCGCACAGATTGTTCACAGTGGCATGGATGAATATTTTAATAAAAACAAAATCATGGTTATTTACTGGAGGCAAAGCTGATCTAGAAATAAAATAAGTGCATTGTTTCACACTATTATTAAATTAAACAAATACTACACCATGACATACACAGAACTCTTTATTATATTTAGATTTATTACCTTTAATTTCTACTTGCAACTAAAAAAATCACTTCTATTGTATCTGTAAAGTCCATTTGTAACTAATGTATCTAACTGCAGAAAAATCATGATTTACTAATCATGGCTTCTACCAAAATCCCACAGGACCTTAGTAGTTTTTAATTTCCAGGCAGGTTTCCGTTTAAAGCTGGTATTTAATTATAAAAAATACTGCACCCATATATTTATGATCCAAAACATGAATAAGGACTTCACATTATGAAACATACTGTGTTATCATGTAATATATTATCAGTGTTCCATCTTGAAATGCCCCTTTCTTCCTTTATGTTTTCCAGTAATCACCACCCATATTACATTTTAGAGAGGATTAACAACTGTGTTATTCACTTGTCTCAGGTTGTGTATGCCAAGATCAGCAAATAAGAAGTGCTAATGTTGATATGTTGATTATGAAGTTAACACTTCCAACCACAAATTTAATTGTTGATTAGATTTCCCATAAATTCAGTACGGTGAAACCCGACATTTAGAGTTCCTTTGCAAGCTAGTGGATCTGAACATTAAACTGAAGAAAATCTTTATTGCAGAAAATTTAACACCAAGATTAGTGATCTGGGATCCACTCAAATTGGACAGTAAGTGTGGGGAAATCTTCAACTGAAGAACATTAAATGTGGGTGCCACTGCATTTTAAGAGACCATTTATTTTTAATGAAAACCTAATATTAATCACATGCTTCCTTGATACAAGTGCCTCAATTCCAGCAGTGACTACATTGAGAAGTAGCTTAAGCATGTACCATATGTCCAAAAACTATCTGACTTTATCTTTTCCCACTGTAAGTAATGGCCAAAGGGGTGGGGAAACTGAGCATAGTGGTAGAAGGGACTTTCATGCGCATGTGTGATTTTTTGCTGACTCGCAACACTGCGTCTGGCTGCCAGATAGCAAAGTGGTGTAACACGTGTTTGTCACATTCTCACAGAACGCTTGGAGCAGCGATACTGCATTAAGTTTTGTCAGAAACTTGGGGATACCCAAGTGGAAACAATTCGCAAAATTTAGCAGGCTTTCGGCGATGATGCAATGGGGGTCACTCAAATTAAAGAGTGTTTCAACCGCTTTAAACATGGCCGTATGTCGGCGGACAGTGAGCACTGTTCCGGGGGACTGTCAGTGCTGATGTCATTGAGAAAGTGCGGACACTGATCATGGAGGACCGTTGTTTGGCCATCCGTGAAGTTGCTGATGAGGTTGGGATCAGCAGAGGTTCCGCAAACACAATTTTAACTGAGGATTTGGGCATGCGAAGAGAGGCGGCAAACTTTGTGCCCAAGCTGCTTTCGCCGGAGCAGCAACAACTCCGCATTGAGGTCACACAGGACATGCTGGAGTGCGCCAACAGGGATCCTGAGTTTCTGAAGACTGTGATCACTGGTGATGAGTCGTGGGTGTATGGATATGACCCAGAAAACAAGGTCCAGGCGTCACAATGGAAGCATCCAACATCCCCGAGGCCCAAAAGAGCACAACAGGTTCGGAGAAATGTGAAGGTGACACTGACTGTTTTCTTTCAATTACTGGGGTGTTGTGCATCATGAGTACGCACCACTAGGCCAAACTGTCAATAAGGAGTACTACCAAGAAGTCCTCCGCCATCTTCATGATGCAGTTCGGCGCAAGAGACCGGAGCTGTGGGACTCGCGCAACTGGCAGCTGCATCATGACAACGCCCCTGCTCATTCATCACACCTGATCCAGGGTGTCCTGTCCAAGCACAGCATTCCGCAGGTTTGCCGGGCTCCCTACTCTCCTGACATGGCGCCTTGTGATTTCTGGCTGTTCCCAAGATTTAAGACACCACTAAAAGGCTGCTGTTTTGACAGCCGCGAGGACATCATACAGAACACGATGGCGCAGCTACACGCCATTCCAAAAGAAGCCTTCCGGAATTGCTTCCAGCGATGGAAGGACCACTGGGCTAAGTGTGTGGAGTCACAAGGGGCCTACTTTGAAGGCAATTAGTTATTGTAACCACCCAGATACAGAACTCTTTTTTCCCGGCCGAAGGTCGGATAGTTTTTGGGACCGAGTAGTACATATTTTTTGTACATAGTTGTTTCCTCATTGCTTGTTTTGTTAACAGTTCACAGGAGGTTTCTTTCTGAATAGCCCTCATATTAGTCAAACATATAATATTACACAAAATTTCAAGGACCTACATTAAGTATCACTAGTGTCACATCAGCTTTAGAGGCTCACACATCCACGGAAATGACATTTTCATGGCAGGAAATTTAAAAGTATGAATATGGTGCAGGAATGATGGTAATACCAGGTTTCATGAAAATTAAAAGACTGGTTCAGAAGTTAAGAGCTTGGGACCACCCACCCATGTATACAACCCCACAAGGAAAAGAACAGCCATTCGTGCACAAACATAATACAAACAGCATATTTTTCCTTATAATGTAAGTGGCCTAAAAAGTATGGTATAAGGGAATACCTTGCTCCATCCAAAATACAAAGTACACTCAACTCTCGATTATCCGGGATAATGGTGGGGATGGAGATCACGATTAGTCGAAAACCCGGTTAAGACAAATTTTATTAAAAGTAGTACTGTAATACTGTACCTGCATAACACTACAGGCCTACCTGTATTTAAATTTATTCAACCTCATTTTTATGTCATCTCATGGCCTATTTAATACTTTTTTACATTACACTGAAGTATGAATTAGTTATTTCAATCACAGTGTTCAACAACATCCAACACTTTTTATGAATATTCACACTTAACACTTAAAAAAATTTAATATTGTCGTTTGCTTTTCACGGCATTTTCCTTTTTACGGATATCCATATGAAGCCTACGTAATATCAGCTTGTCACTTAATAAACTGTTCTCTTCCCTCTCAAGATAGTCTAGTAATGATTCCAAATGATTAAGAGCAGCACCATGTGATATTTTGTTACTAGCAGCACTGTCCACCTCTTCCTCATTCTCGCTTTCTTCCCGCTCTTCTGGCTGCATCCCCGCTGAACTTACAATTTCGTCACTGCTTAACATTTCGAAGCCCGGCTCACACGAGTCACAGTCAAACCACTCTCATATATTTTCCTCGTTGACTTCTTCAACACCAAGAACTTGGGTTAGCCAATTTTGTCAGTTCTATGGCTATCTCATTTTCACAGAATCCCGTGAATCCATGGATTTCATCATCTTCATTAGTGATGGAAGGCATCAGTTTCTTCCATGAATTTTTTAATACAGATGGCTTTACCGTATCCCATGCAGTTGAAATCTTGTATATGGCATCTAACATTGAAAAAGACTTCCAGAAACATGTCAGATCATTGCCTTCATTGATGTACTTTTGTAGCAAATTTGATCTGTAGATTCTCTTCATACTTGAGATAACTCCTTGAGCCATTGGTTGGATAAGTGCGGTAACATCAGGAGGAAAATATTTCCATCATCTGACCTCAGGAGACTTCTGTTAGGATGTGAGGGCACATTGTCATTGAGGAGCACAGCTTTCTCAGGTAGGCCTTGGGATTCTAGATGGTCACAAACTTGCGGCACAAATTTAAAATCAAACCATTCTTTAAATATCACTCTATTCATCCAAGTTTCTTTATGATTAAAATAATGGATAGGCAGACTTGAAGCTACTGTTCCTTTAAAAGAGCATGGTCTTTTCGCTTTGCCGATAACTACTGGTGTAAGTTTGTGTGTTCCTGATGCATTAGAAGAGCACAAGCATGTCAATCTCTCCTTACTGGATTTGTGACTGGGAGCCTGTCTTTCATTTTGAAATGCCAAAGTTCTGGTTGGCAAGCATTTCCAATAAAGACCCGTTTCATTGGCATCGTGATTTGTTCTGGCAGCAGATTTTCACTTTTCACAAAACTATCAAAATTGGTACAAAATTGAACTGATAATGATAAGTTCCCTGACAATTTCTCACCTTGAATACTAATTTCTCGTATTCCATGACACTGCTTGAAACGTGTTAGCCAACTGGAAGAAGCATCAAAACCTCCTTGTAGTTCAAGTGCTTCGGAAAAAATTTCACTTGTTTAGCACAAACTGCTCCTGTTATTGTTGTTCCCTGTGCCCTTAGTTGATTAAACCAGATCAGCATTGCTTTGTCGAGATCATCATACGTTGATTTTTTCATGGTTTTTCTCTTCTTCATTCGGCTTGAATTAGAAGATGAAGCAAAGGAAATAGATTCCTTTGTTTTTTCAAATCACAAACAGTTTGTTCTCCAATACCGTATTGCATTGCTAATTGTTTAACTACAGCTCCTTTTCCCAACTGATTGATAATTTCAAGTTTCTGTTGAATACTTAACACAACACGCTTCCTTTTACACCCTGACAATTTGCTAACGCACTTGAAGATTGATACAAAGAGACTAAGTGGGGCGGTGTATCTGTCCTTGAAACTTTCCACAAATCCTTGCATTCTTTCACCCCTACCCTAGAACATCGTGTTAGCATAACAGGACCAAAAAATGGAGAGCATGGTTCACACTAGTGCGAAAATAGTGTTACAACTCACCATGTGAAACAAAAGTGAATGAATATTAAACAACATATAAGCCTCAAAAAAGCCCCGGTAAAGCCGCAAACCAGTTTATCCGCCCCCGGATAATCGAGAGTTGAGTGTACTGTAAAACAGTTACTGAACTGGCTGCAAAGTAACTACCGTAGTTAGTACAGACTTCATATTCTGAATCACTTGCTGTTAATTACAAGATTGCAGGACATGTCTTTCAGAAATGACACATCATGAAGGTCATGTGTAATGTTATCTGCAATCTTTGTTCTTCAAGGAATGAGACTTCAAAAGAACAGCATACATACATGAAGTTCTATTTAAAAACAGGCTGCTTCTGCAGGAGAACAACGAATATACTTCATAGAACTGGGTGGTGAATGACTTCTGCTGAAAACTTGTTCCCATAAACAGACATCCTACCATCCAAAAGTCATTAATGGGGTGGAAATCTCATTTGGATCCTGACAGAGCATTCTGACACAAAATTTAAACGTGCAACATACTACTGCCATATTAGTGACTTGTCTGCTAATATGAAACAGAACTAGGTCAATGTGCATAAGGACTTCCAAGACACACTTCAGAGAGGCCCCAGTATCTTTCTTAGGTACCTGTATGACAAAACATGCAAACACTATCACTTTCTGGAATGTTACACCATGTGGTCTGGTAGATGTTTACCAATACTTTGGAAGCATGTACTACCTCCATCTTTGGGATCAAAAAGAAAGCCAAGTAAGCAGCAAGCTGAGAATGCTACATGGAAAATTACTATAGCAATAGGCCTGGGAAGGAGTCCTGTGAGAAATAGCAGGAGCAAGAATAATACAAGGACCAATAATTTAGATAGAAGGAAGAGATAATGCGAAGATAGAATATTGGGAGTAAAAAGTATATCAGAGGATAACAGAACTGACTGGGACTGATGGCAGAGTATGCAAGGGAATAAAAGAGGGAAGAAGCAGAAAAGACAAGACAATCATGACAATGTTAACGGGCCAACAAAAGAGGCTAGCGGCAAAGCAAAGGAGTAGTACAACGAAGTAGAAGAGGAAGGAGAGTTATGATGTGGGTGGGAGGGAAGACGCCATGGGCTGAAAGAAGACTACAGAAAAGGATAAAAGGAAGAAATAGAAGAGGAAGTGGGAGAGAAAGGATAGTCATGATATTCAGGGCCACGCTCTTCATACTAGCAAATTGCATTTCTGTAAACATATTTTAGACAGTACTTCAGGATAAACAGTCTCCAACTTACATTTCTGAACAAACCCTTCAATTATGTCTATGCTGCACAACTCAACCACATTTCTGTCAACAACACATTTAAAATGTGAACAGAGATGCCAAACAAAGAAACTTAACCTTACAGAGTGCACCAAAATTAAAACAGATATGTGTACCTTGAAAACAGAAGGTGGCCTTTCACGGAATGGCATAAGAAATGAATAACACCTTCAACACCAACAATGATAAACAAGCCATCATCTGACACAGTAAAACAGTCAATAGGAGAATCAAAGGCATAAGTGAAGTGTATTTGAGAACATGTTTCATCAGTAAACACTATGAGAAACCCATCAATTGCAACACAAACACTTCCTCCAAGAAAGGATGCAGCAATAACATGTGGATTCTTCACAACCTAGAACATAGAAGAAAATAAATAGCAATAAGTATAAAAAAAACCTCATTAGTTTCTATAAATAAAACTATTTTGCCTTTAAAATATTGTCATGTGTAAGAGGTTAGCATGACGAATGATTGTGGGTTCTGGATTTGATGACTGGATTTATTAAAACCTTCGTTTACAAGGTCTCTTAATCACACTCAATTATAGCACCATTGCTAATCTACCCACTTCACAAATCACTAGAACATGCTACATTCTTATCCTCATACTCTTCTGTACTCTTCTGTCCATGTAATCTCAACTTCCTTGTAGTAAAGATTGCCTTCAAAATAACTCCTCGGCACAGACCTACTCAAAATAAATGCCAGGTGATCACCACACAGCCAGTCCATTGGCGCGCTGGCTGCTGCCTAGCAGCAGTCTCACCATGGACCTATAGAAAACACATTATGTGACTGCTCCCAACTGTTGTTGTTTGACATCACTGTGCATGCACAAGCTCTGTGATGGTTGGCCACGTGTCTGTTGCGGACATTGCAATAGCAATGGATTTACATTTCACAATATATTGTTCAATCCTACAGTCAAAGTCTATAGTTTCCTACGACAAATCTTACATACCTGCCTCTAGAACACATCCACTTGCCGAGAGAACTGAACCATGTTATGCACATATAAAAGTAGAGAAGTCTCTCAAATTTGAGATATACATATTTTCCAAAGACGTTCTTTCCCCTTATCCATTTTCATCCTTACTTTAAAAACAGATCTATTCCTGATAAATATAACCAACTGCACAAATACTATTACACTTCACTGTCATAAACTCTACCAAGCTATCAGTATTACACTGCAGTTTTCTACTGAATGGATTTCCACAGTGGTACTGCTTTTGACTCATAACTGGGAGGTGCTCAGTTTAAATCTCAGCTGGAACACCTGCTATACTATTCTTAGTGGTTTTCTCAGTCCCTCCACACAAGTGCCAGAATAATACCTTGATTAGCTCATAACCGCTGCCTTCTAAATCATCATTCAAAACCATACAGTCTAGCTACTAAAAACATCATTAAAAACCCCATGAATACCCGCCCCCACCCATCAAATACAAGTCAGAAGTGGTGTCACTTGAACCAAGGTACTCGGTAAAAATTGGTGTCATTCAGCTTATCAAAAAGTTCCCATTTTCTGAAGTCTGACATAGTTCTTGCCAGTCTTGCTTGATTGATTCATATTGGAGAGTGATGTCTGTGACGGCCAGTGACAGCTGTGTTTGAAATTCTTTCGTTGCTTGAGTAAGGATCAGCATATACAGGACTCTGCTGCATGTGTAGATTAGATACGGATTAGTTATAGTGCTCTGTGTTCTAGTTATGCTTGTTATGGTGTTTAAATTTAAGCCTTTCACGTGCTTTAATAGAACTGGTTGCATTGTATTGGCTGCGCTGGAAATAATCGTGAACCGTGACTATGAGCCCAAATCCAAACACAGTTGTAACACGTGCAATCCAAATTTATTCTACGATACATATATTTACAATTTAGTACTTGTGTATTTATTGCATATTGGAATGGAATTGGCATACATGTAGTCCAATGTGTGTAGTCTTTTGGACACACTGTTGTCCTAGGTGAGGTCTGTACTGATATTAACCATTCCTTCTCTTGTCAGTATATGCCACATTGAACAGAAATGGCTAAATCTGCAATCATTTAACAAGTGGCTGAAGAAATTGGACATGTGTATGAATGGATAAATGTATTTCACACTGTCCATCAAAATGGCGGGTCGTATGAAGAGCTGTATTAACCGCGCTACAGTATTAATTACCAATAATGATGAACCGAGAGAAACAACGTGTATCTGCTGTGCAGAGCTTGAATTGGAATTGGAAAGGACTCGAAGTGAACTCAGATCAACTAAAAAAATTGTCGAGTTGCTACAGAAAGATATATATAGTACTGAATTAGAGGTTATGAACAGCACAGTCGGTGGAAGTAAGAGAGGCAGTGGAAGTGTCTCCCCTCATGAGGAATATAAATTGATACAAGAGCAAAGAAGTGAAACTACATAAGAAGAAAAAATTAAGTGTAATGACAATGTGATATACTCGTATTCAAGAATGGAACAAGATAATAACCAGCAAGATGAGCAGTTTCCAAATTTAAGTAGTAATAGTATAATCACTGACTTCTTAACAAAACCTAAAACTATACCAACAGTAGCAAAACCAATTCCAGTGATTGTGAATATGGAACTAAGAACTAATAAGAGAGATAATAACATGCTTTCACAAAAATCTAAGCTTAACTTAATTGTAAAGACTAAGAACATCAAAAGAACCAACCAAGGACTAAACGAGATAAATAAGCATAAAATAATGATAACAGGTGATAGTCATTGTTACGGAACAGCAAGAAACACAAGTGATTACTTAGGAGATAAATTTGTGGTAATGGGTATGATTAAACCGGGTGTGGGAATTGAGGATATTCTTACATCAATGAATCAGAATTACAGAAGTCTGACCAAAAAAGATGTAATAGTAGTATAGGCAGGACCTAATGATGTGTATAGAAATAACACAAGGCTAGCACTAACACAGTTTGTAAAATTCTGTAAGGATTTCATTAATGTAAATATAATTACACTAGATATCCCTCACAGGTATGACCTGATGGAAACCTCCTGTGTCAATAGAGAAATCCACATATTCAATAGAAAACAAAGGAAATTCACTAAAGTACTTAAACATGTTACTATTATTGAAATGAATAATAATAGTCTCAATATTGTCCCTAGAGAGCTTATTAATGATGTATAATGCCTACGTTCATTATGTCATATGGCATAATATTCTGGGGAAATGCCTACATTCATTATATGTCATATGGCATAATATTCTGGGGAAATTCAATGTACAGTTCCCAAATATTTAAAATTCAAAAAAGAATAATTAGGGTAATAATGAAAGCAGGAAATAGTGACACTTGTTGGCCTCTATTTAAAAAATTAAACATTCTTCCATTTTATTCACAGTATATATTTTCAATATCGGTCTTCATAGTTAAAAACATGGACAAGTATGTAGTAAATTCAGATATTCATAACATTTATACGAGACAAAGATTCGAACTACATTATCCAACTTATAAATCAACCAGGGCTCAAAAGGGAGTATCTTACACGGGGATTAGAATATTTAATAAATTACCACATAGAATACAAAATTTATTGCAAGATTTAAATAAATTCAAATATTCCCTTAAAAAAATTTTGCAGGTGGGCTCTTTTTATTCTTTAGATGAGTATTATGAATGGAGAACAAGGGATGCTTGTGTTAATTACAGATAAATAAAACAACACTAGTCATTTTTAAAACTTTTATTGTAGGATACCTATAATTCTTTAGATATGCTTTTACTCTATTATTGACAGTGTTAATGTGTATTTTATTATGATACGTTGCAATGCAAGTGTTATATGCATGTTGTATTTAATTATAACAATGTATCAATCATTGTATCAATAGTTATTGCAACAATGGTTGTAAATACATTGTAATATCTTTATGACATTGTCCTCTGGATTTATTTTATTGTAACCTGGGCTTTGACATGTTCTATATCTGGAGCCACTATTACCAAATGTAGATCTGACGAACAAAAATAAATTGAAATTGAAATATTGTTGAAAAATTTAGAAATTTCAATATATAAAAAAAAGTCAGTTCCATTTCAACATGTTTCTGAAAAATGTGATATAGAAATATTCAATGTGGACTAACCAACCTTTAATGAAGACCTGCACAAATCCTGCACACAAATTTGCCATGGTGCCCAAAACCTGCATGATGGCCATAAGACTTTTATTCCTGTTATACTACTGCTAGTGAATGACCCACTGAAAATAATGGGCAAATTATTTCTTTATTTCCTGTATCCCTTTTGTATCTTTATCTCCTTCCCACACTTCTCCCCTATTGCTGTTCTTCCCTTCCATTTGTCCACCTTACTATCATTCCTCTCCTCTTCCTTCACATTAAAACAGTTTCCCACCCCTGTTCTTCCATTCCTCCACACCAGTGTTTCCCCCATGGTTGTTCTGCAGATGAAAATTTCATTACAATATAAAGAATGATAACAAAATACAAGTACTATATATGCTACGCGTGGGAAACTCATACTGATGTAGAAATATGAACTGCATGACACATACTCACTTCCATTTGAGTAATATTTACAACTTACATATTTTAAGCATGAGAAAAATACAACAAATAAGAGAAGGTTAACGTACCTCCCCCTGAGGATGGATTGTTGCCAGCGTTAAGGTTTCAAAGAGTCCATTACTGTCATCTGAAACTGTCCGGGTTCCAAAATTAACAGTTTCCTCCTCTGCATCAAACCCTGTGTTGACATCAGCCCACACAGCCATTGCTACATCCTTAAACACAAATAACACACCCAAAATGAAGACAGCACACCACACACACACACACATACAGATCCAGCAGTACAACGCATGCAGTAACAGGAGCAAAACACAACACAGAACACGATACACAAATATATGTAGGAAGATTGCTCACATGAAAGACGATTGGCATAATTCGCATGTTTGAGTGCGACGTAGGAAGAATCCTGAAAAGTTTTATTATTTACAATTCATCGTCCTATATGACGAATACAGATTTTAGTCATTTTAGAATGAAGACATTATGGCATGCAAGTACAATAGTTTAACGTGCATAAAGACACCTGAAGATGGCACATTAGTGCTGAAACATGTAGTGTGGAAGTGAAGAATAAGGTGAAAAGTGTATACACTGTAAGACGGTCAGCATAAACCATGGATATGAATCAGTGTAACAGGACGCTAAAATATAACATTGTAAACAACTTCTTTATTAAGACTGTCACAACACAACTATATCACGGTCAGTGCCTGGTTCTGGCTCTGCTACATGTTTCGGCTATTAATAGCCATCATCGGGCAAATATATGGCTAATACATATACACCACTGAACTGCAGTATTAATAAAATTGGATACAATAATATTAATTACATTAAAATACTTGACATAAAAATACAATAAATTAGATTATATAAAACAAAAGTTATAGTATATTACAAGAATAAAATTCTTCAATTGATGCTTTACATCATCGAGTCAGTCGTTAGTTTTTGTGATTTTGTTTCGTACCCATGGACAAATTAGAGTATTCCGTATGTTGTGTATAAAAACTGTTATTGGAGGCACATGATGTAGATGTAGTAATTCGTTCATTCATTCATTTATTCACATTGCATAAAATCCTTACATGATTTAAACAACCGAACAGATATAGAAATCGTCAAGTAGTATGAACTCATCTTGCTTATATTTATTTATTTATTTATTTCATATCATATCCATGGATCATTGTACATGATATAGGACAAGTCAAATACTTTACAATACAATAAGTAATAATAATAATAGTAATAATAATAATAATACAATATATAACACAATGATATAATAGTATACAAAGATAATAAAATTATGATTCGAATGATATATATCCTGGGTGGTTATGGTTATGGAGAGTTTGATGGAATGAAGATTGGCAGGGGAAACCGAAGTACTCGGAGAAAACCTGCCCCAGTGCCACTTTGTCCATCACAAATCCCACTGGACCAGACCGCCTCGGTGGGAAGCCAGCGACTAACCGCTTAAGCTGTGGCACGGCCTTAGAGATAATATTGTCTGGTATGTTGCTTCACTGTAGTTTATGGTCCTGGTCTCTGTAGTGCTGGTGAAGCTTCTTGAAGTCTGCATATCTCCAGAGTAGCCTGTTCCGGTAAATCTCCACTGTGTTAGCTTGGTTGCTGGAAAAGGGAAAAGAAAACTGCGCAGTAGCGATTCCAAAACCAATTATTC